ATAATTCCTTTGAAAGTCCACTCGGTTCAATGTTGGCCCGCGATCGTCTCGTTGACCATGTTGCATTGACGGCGTGTATTTGTGCTCCAGTTCTTCCGAAAGTCGGGCGAGGGTGAAAATTCACGAGGACGACAATGAGGTTGATGACGTAATCGGCGCCTAAATTCGAGTAGGTCGTTACGAAGTCAATTGACGACGGGCCGGGGAAATCGCCTCTTCTCCTCCATCCAAAACGGCGTAAGGCGTGATTTTTTCTGTCCACCTCAACAACCGCCTTCTTTAAAAGGTAATGCCCCGATGATTCAAACAATTATGTCCTTTTCGACGGCGGTGTCCCAGCGACAGATTTTTGACGGAAAATTGAAGGGCCCTCGATGATTGGACGAATTTATTGGTTCTTTGAGCAGGTTTAATGGATTCCGAACATGGTGAATTAGCCTTTACCCGGGTAGATAGAAGGCTACCAGGGCACCAAATTCATCCGGTCAATTGCTTTGAATCAAGGGGCCAATAAAATTGGGGCACCTCCCATGGATTTATGGCTCATGAAAGTAATCAGCGTCACCAATCAAGATCAGGCTTCACAAATGGGCCGAATTAATCGGACTGAGTGGCACGAAGACGTTTGTGTAGGTTGGAAATGTGATAGAGCCAAGGTCCTCCTGGAGTAAGGCTGCTACAGCGTAGTTCAGATGCGAACAGGAAAAGGTTACTTTCATGCATAATGTCATTCAGATCAGAATTTGTACTCTCACGGAGAAAGTAATGCTTTTGAAGGTTGGTAAGTCAACAATGTCACAATGATAAAAACTAAAAAGCACCATTCTTGGGAGTTGGATTATAAACTTTCTATCTACCCTGTCCGAGTAATGGGCCCCTCATCCGTCTCTCATTCTGTATCGTATTGAATGTATGTGTGTCCCTTGACTTGCTGTGGCAAAGCGATGTTCATCTCATCGCTTTCATCCTCCTAAACGAGTGTTTTATCAATTAATCGACTCCAGAGTGATGGAGTGCTTGGTTGGCTATCAGAGATTGAACCCTGATGAAGCGTGTATGATACTGCGCCACTCGCCACTACACCACCTCCGCTTTTCTAACATATGTGAATGTCCTTTTTTCCGATTCTCGGGATTATAATTACTAGATATGGTCATCAAGTTTTTTGAGTTTCGGAGTTGGCTCACTGGCAAATGGATCCGCTATACTCGGAGAACCTGAAAGTTGGGTACATCGAGAGGGGAGCTTTACCTCTTTGGCATCCAGCTACCAAATAGTTTAGAAGACTTCACTTAGGGCAGAGTCAGCCGAGTTACCCATGCCTTCGCTGCTTTAAATGACATATGGAACTCCCTTCTGAGGAATGCTATCCTAATTAATCGCATTTTCCTCATTCAGTTCAGTTCAGCACTTTTCTAGGAAGTCAGCCACTCTTTTCCCGTTTTCTCCAGCTTATCAATTCTGAACAAGCATTCCATGAAAAGGGCCCTAGATAAAGATAGCTTCACTCAGTCCCTCATTACCCGTCAATGTGGCAGTTATAGGTCAAGTTAGTTTTATTCCACTTCTCATTACCCCAGTTTCAAGACTACCTGACGAGCTCAGATTTGTGTGCGATCGTAATCCGATAATCGCTGTTCATTCCACTTGAGAACGTATTTCGGTCACCGGGTTTGAACGTTCACTTTAGCGTAGCGTTTTCGCCGTGTCTACATTTGAACTTTCCAATTCTGGATTAGAAAAACTCCAAACCGGTTGGCGCTACGACACCATTTTTGTAATGAAAGCAATTACTGCTGCAAAGAAAGTAAAAACAGTAAAGGACTCCCGTCGAAGTGAAGAAACAGCCGAGTGTTCCAGAAAAGTCCATCCCCAAAATGGTAAAAACTGGCCTAAGCGGAAAAATCTTTCAGAGTACATTCAAATGACCGCGGTGTTTGGATGTTCATCTGGTCTATTTATCAGAGTTTATGAGTCGATGTAACTTAATCAGTAACTGTCTTCTGGAGGGTCTACTAGCTGGTGCTGAGCTCTCCTAGAGACCAGTTACTCACAGGCTTACTTTGGGACCACTAAGAGGGAAAGGGGCACGTTTTCGTAATTCCGTAAAGGAGGGATGTAGCGTACAGCGTGTATATAAACAGGTTTTCACCTACCAGTGGATTATGTGTCCAAATATGTTTTGCCTAAACGGGTTCTGACCACTCCTCCGTCTTAATGGTTAGGCCGGTTTTTATATCTGTTTGTGGAATGAGTCCCGGTTACCTTATCCTTTGGTAACCTTATGACCAAAGAAGTTAGACCTTCCATCAAGTATTTCCAGAAACGTGCCCCAAACAACTGACGGTCATTTCACTATTCCAGCTTTCCCGAAACCTATGAGCATAGTGAAGCCCAGCCTTTCAGAATAAGGAGTCGGTGCTCTCTGCGGGAGAGCAGTGCTTTATACAGAAAAGTAACAGTGTGCAGCTCTTTCCAGTATTACCTTCTATCAGACCTCCAGCAAATGCCCGAGCAACGTCTCCACTTATGTCGGGCATCAAATATGATGGGCATGTCACGACCGGCTTTTCATTGTATCAGTCAAAATTAATGGCATTTGAATTATTGGGTTAAAACTGGGTTAATGGGCCAATAGGCATGGTACGAGAAAAGCACCCCACGTAATGGGGAGGTTCATTGGTGGCGCGCTGTACCCCCCTTCCTCATTGCTTTTTCTACAAGGGAAGGAGGGCCATCCCGAAACCGAAAGTCGTTCGACCCAAATTCGTCACAGGTGACCCGCAGCAGCAGACCAGCGCCCGCTTTCCATTGTGATGTTACATCGCCATGTCGTCGTCGTACCTACTTTCGCCGGTTTCGTCGCCTTTTCTGTTGAGTGGCGAGAGAAAGTGTGAGCTAAATTTACCGGTTCGAAAGCATCACTAAGGCTAGGAAGTTCTCGATCCATTCTCTTCGAGATAACTAGAAGGTTCGATAACTAACGGATCAAGAGCTCTCAAAAATCCAGATTTCTTGGTCCATGTCATTAAGGTTCCAGTACTGTTCGTTAAAAATTCTCCAAAAATACTTTTTCTTCGAATGTACCATTCGTATTTGTTATTTATTTCATTTTATTTTGCTCCTCTAATCTCTCTTCTTAAACTGCTTTCACCTTTTTACCTCTCTGAGCTTTTTGTCTGCTGAGAGTTGGGTTTATTCGTTCCCCTTTACTTTGATCTTACTACCCTACTTTTCACTACT